ATCTTCGATTTAAGTGAAACACGTTGTTTCAATTACCTGCAATTTATTCATTTTCAATACGTGTTTTCTGTCTCTTCAAATTAACTCGAGAATCTTATTTCTTAGGACAAAACAAATTATTTGAGAGCTGTCTGATTACTTTGAATTACATGAAAATGTGATGGATAAAGTTGATAACTTACCAGAATTTGTGTATTTATTCCATATCTTTGGTATTACATCTGACTTAGCAATCTGTTATTTTAAGAGTTGATTTCAGCTAGGTGTAAGTTTTAAAAAACTTCAATAACCCAAACTCTGGGCTAAAATTAAATGCATATATCTATCCATTTCCATAAAGTCCATTAACACTAGTTTGTGAAGTAACTATTGTTGTTATATCATCATTTGGTAAAAATAATCTTACTGATTTAGTTACTTATTCAACATTCACACTCAGATACTTAACATAATTAGTATTGTACTATCAACAGATCAGTTGTACTTTGCGCTTTGTTTTGTAGTAAAATAACCCACCAAAATCTGTGTTCATTGTTTTTCATTGGAAATAAAATATGAATATTCAACTGTGTTTTACTTGACTCTACTACATTTGTTTTATTCATTAATTGTTATTCATTGTTTCTCTCATTAATTTACTCATCTTTGTGTACATCATCAACTTATTTTTTCTCTTAAGAATAAAACAAATTATTTGAGAATTTTATCTGATTACTTTGAATTACATGGAAATGTGATGGATAACGTTGATAAGTTGCCAAAATTTGTGCATATGCATCAAATGAAATATGGTCAACCATATTTAGAGTTAATGTCGAAAGCTCAAGTAAGTTTATATGCAGTTGCATTCATATTGAATTGTCCTGTTAAAAAGGTTGGGTTTTTTTCGGTGTATTATAACTGGACTTATTAAGAAACTATTTGATAATCTGACTCAGAAATGTGCAACATTAAATAGTGTTAAGAATTATGATGATAGAGTTTAACGTACTAATGACCACAAAGCTGACGAACTGGCATTTCATCGTAAATAGTCACCAGCATTGTTTGTTTCTCAAGATATCAGTGAAATATTAGCAGCGAACTCTGTGTTTGACGCATACTAATTCTATCTCATAGGAATTCGATTGATGAACAGAGTGAAGATGATTTTAGTGACAATACTATGCCACTAGAGAATTAAGTCAAGCGACAATTGATCTTAGTTATACTGCCAGAGTTCTTCCCCTCTCTAAATTCTCCAGTTATCTATTCAATGTCACCTATAATTTCTCTGAATGTGAATACTATCTATTAACTTTACCAAAATAATGATAATGGATCCAATGAATTAGTGAACCGTCTCGCACACGCAACACAAGGTTGTGAATAAAAGGGGAAAGAAACCGATAAAATTTAGCTGATGAAATTCAGAAACCAACGTCATACGATAGGTCAGTGCTAGACATATTAATCGGTCATTTGGATGAAACTGCACGGTTAGACAGTTTGATTTCGAAATCTGTTGGTTTATAATCAAGTTTATGAAGGACATCAGAAAAGAACATAGTATATATGTTCGATCAAGACTTTAACTAATTTGGTATCCTTTAGCGGCGCTAGATCTGACTAATTGGGTCGTTTGGTGCTTGTTATTGAAATATACGTGCCGCTAATCCTTGTGTATAATCATCGACCTAAATCGCGCCGGTGGATAACGGAATTAAATAAGTCAAATACGAGAAAGGATTTTTGAATCCGTATAATTCGTACAATCGCTGTTCGGAAAGCAAAGCAAAACGAAATAATGCGCAATGGAGATGGCGAATAAGCCGACACCATTTAACCATGCGTGAATCGATATTTATAGTCACACAAAAATAAGTCACATACGCTTACATAAATTCAGTAAAGGTTGATAAGCGAATAAGTGACAAGGTCAAAATGTGGTTTAAGAGCAATGAATATATTGATCAGTCCTGTCCAAAGGCTGGAACAACCTAGATGTGCCCGACATAGGGCGAGGCCTTACAGTCTAATTTCATTAGTTAATCAAGGATTTTATGCATTTGCATAAACCACAACTATTCATTCGATGTCTCTCGACCTGTTTCCTTTAGTCGTCCATTTCTGTGCTGCAGAAAACTTTAGTCAATAAACATACAGTCCCAGAGGTTTCACAAATCTAACATTGCGATATGTTATGTCTCAGTGCAGTCGCAATCCGTGATCGTCTTAAAGTTAAACTATCTGTAAATGTCAGACTATATTCATCTATAAACCAACTGAGGATTCTAAAATCACAGAGATAAAGAGAATGGTCATTATCGTTGACTACTGGAACCTATATAATCAATGAAGATATAGGACCTGAAATTTCCCTTACAATTATCTTGATAACTGATTTATTAGTATGTAAGTAATTTATGAGTGTGCCTCCCAGCATGCTGTTGTGGTCATTAATTTAAATTTTGCCAGTCAAATCTTGATTGAGTTTTGATCAAGGCGTTGTCTACTTTATCACAGCCTAAAATTTATGATGGATGAAAATAGCAGATATTGATGTGATTAAGTGTATGGTATTCTTCACTAAGTTTGTGTCAAGTTGTACTCCTCGATAAGACGTTAGTTATTCATAGTTGATAGTTTGTACGTATAATATGTCATATTTTCAGTTGCATCTTCCTAGTTTATTTCTTTTAGTTATTTTTGGCTATAAAGGGTGAACTAAAATTATGTGAAACATTATTATCTGACAGTTTAACGTAACCGATTTCATGTGGAACGAACTATGTTTTTATGGTATCATAATGATACATTTTCATGTGATATCTTTAATTAGTAGAGATCTATTTGATTGAAGTTAATTCAAGTGTAGAGTTAAGTTGTAACTTTGAAATTGTTGGGAGACGAGTTTTAATCGATTAATTGTAGTGAGAGTGTATTTATTTTTGTTTGTGTAAAAACATAAACCACTGTAATGTTAACTAGTGGAATGTTTTCTAAAATGTATTCTAGATATTGATTGGATTGGGATGTCCTTACGAAGGTCCTGCGCCTTTAGAAGCAATCGCTAATGGTCTTATTTTTCTTAATCCTCGTTTTGATCCGCCTCACGGTAGAAGCAATCAAGCTTATTTTTCTGATAAGCCCACTTCGCGAGGTGTAAGTGCAATTTTTTAAAGTCTACTATTTTTATAAAATACTAGCAAACGTTTTATGTGTATCATGTTACGGACGACTAACTAAACTATTGTCTTACCTTTCCATGGAAAGTTACAGCTTGTATACATTTGTAGTGTTGTCTCCAGAATCACTTTGATTATTCATATTGTGGACATGTTGTAACCCTGTTTGTTCATATGAGTGGGAGAAAATGTTATCCAGACAGCAGTAATAATAGATTATGATGAAATGAATCTATATGATATACTTTCAGAAGCACAGGTTTATCTGTACTAGGAAGGTGTATCTGAAACCAAATTTAACAGAGACATGGTAAGCTCACTAATTTTTAATACGATATGCCATATCAGTAAGTAAAAGTTTGTACTTTAGAGCCTTCACTGATATTTTCTGAATTTCGTAATTAACCTCACTAGATATTTAACTAGAATCAGTTCGTGATGCAATATTCAGTAGTTTCGTTTGTGGTCAATGGTCAGACACTAGTCCTATCCATTTATCCAATTATTTCAGTATTTTGGTTCCGCTTTTCACCCGTAATGATCTATATTTTTCCTTTCCTCACTGATTTTCCTTGTGTCAGCAATGTCTTACAACGTTGTTTCCGATAATCATTTAATGTTTATTCGAAGCGAATTGTTCAACTTTGTTTTTGTTAAATGCTGACATGACTTCTCATGCTGTTGTACGTTGTTTTCTGATTTTTAGTACATGTAACTGTTTAAGTGCTGATGATGACGCTAAAGATGAGACAGATCTGAGGATAGTGAGAGCTAGAACAAATAATACCAATCTGGTTCAAAATCTCATCACTCATCTGTTTTTAATAATTCCGCAATACGTCGTTTCAGCAAGCTTACTTCGACTTCTTGATTAGCCCTCCTAAACTGTAGATATTCGATAACTCGTCGTATTAAACCTTTACTATATCCAAGCAATTGTTCATATGCAGCGATACGGACTGAGTACTTCTTAGGTTCAGTAGTGTGTGTTTAGACGGTATTAATATTTGTGCTTATCATCATACTCTTAAAACTGACCTTCCAGTGTTATTAAAAGTAGGGAATAATTTGTATGTTTAAACACTGGCCCAATCCTTATCGAAACTCGCTTGAATAATTCACTGGAGCAGTCTTCAAACTTTACAAGGTACTGTTTTCGATTGCATACAAAACCAAACGACGCGCAATGCAGATGAAAATGACCGAACATATTGGAATGGAGAAGGTTAAGATTCACAATTATTATACGATAAGTACTCATAATTGGATTGTCACAAAGGGATACATAAAAGGTAAGTTGGCTGTGTAACTAGAGTTGACTTCCACATGCATGATCTCTGATTTTATCAGTCTTCAAACTATACAGTTTGCTAAAGATCTCCGAATACTTCATCAATATAAAACTAGTATCTAATTCACTAATGGTATCAATCAGTTTTTTTCCGAGTTTTGATTAAGATGATTCAGGAAACCCGTTCACATATGTAGGAATTTAGTTAAAATATAGAACTGATACTTTGAAATGATCTTTCTTCAGTGACTAACAGGTTTCAGAAACCTGTTACTAGTATCATGTATTGAGGTGTAGTCCGTCAAGTAATTAATTCAGAGTCTTAATTGTATGATCAACTGTACAAACATAAATGCTTATTTATTTAGTTCTAATTCTGTTTTATAACAAAAGCTAAACTGTAATTAGTAAACACCATCACTTTAACAGGAATCTAAACTGATGTTCACAAATTCAAAACTGATACAAGCCAATGACAATTTCGAATCAATTTATTTTCTATTCCTATGGAATTAAAGTAACGAATTACTTGCTTACTTACTTACTTACTTACTTACTTACTTACTTACTTACTTACTTACTTACTTACTTACTTACTTACTTACGCCTGTTACTCCCAATGGAGCATAGGCCAACAACCAGCATTCTCCAACCCACTCTGTCCTGAGCCTTCTTTTCTAGTCCTATCCAATTCTTGTTCATTTTTCTCATGTCTATCTCCATTTCCCGACGTAATGTGTTCTTTGGTCTTCCTCTTCTCCTCCTTTGACCTTGAGGATTCCATGTGAGGGCTTGTCTTGTGACGCAGTTGGGTGCTTTCCTCAATGTGTGTCCTGTCCACTTCCAGCGCTTCTTCCCGATTTCTTCCTCCGCTGAGATCTGGTTTGTTATCTCCCACAGTAGGTTGTTGCTAATAGTGTCTGACCAACGGATCCTAAGTATTTTGTGTAGACAACTGTTTACAAACACCTGTATTTTCTGGATGATGGCTTTCGTAGTTTTCCAGGTTTCTGCCTCATACAGTAGAACTGTCTTGACATTTGTATTGAAAATTCTGACTTTGGTGTTGGTTGACGGTTGCTTTGAGTTCCAGATGTTCTTCAGTTGTAAATATGCTGCTCTTGCTTTGCCGATCCGCGCCTTCACATCTGCATCAGATCCACTGTGTTCACCAATGATGCTGCCCAGATATGTCAAGGTTTTTACATCTTCCAAATCTTCTCCGTCAATTGTGATTGGATTGGTGCATGCTGTGTTGTATCGGAGAATCTTGATTTTCCCTTTGTGTATATTGAGAGCTACCGCTACTGAGGCTGCTGCTCCACTGGTCATCTTCTCCTGCATTTATTGTTGTGTGTGCGATAGAAGGGCCAGATCATCTGCGAAGTCTAGATTGTCCAACTGCATCTTCGATGTCCATTGTATCCCGCGCTTCCCTTCAGATGTTGACGTCTTCATGATCCAGTCGATCAGCAGGAGAAAGAGAAAGGGTGAGAGTAAGTAACCTTGCCTGACACCGGTCTTCACTTCGAACGACTTTGTCAACTGTCCTCCATGCACGATTTTGCAGTGTAATCCATCATATGAGTTCTGTATGATATTGACTATCTTCTGTCAGGTTCGTTAAACTTGAATCATACTACTGATTCGGCTTATTCGGAACGAAACGAAGGATCAGGATTCAGAGACTCGATAGGCTATTCTGGTCCGTTGTCCCCAAATCAGCTAACTCGATCAATAAGTCTTGATAAGACGTAGAAGTGTATTCTATGGGCAATCAGCAGATATCAGGTCAAGTCAATCAGGCATACAAATCAAGAGTATTTATACAAATATTTACAATCGATATTGTCATGGTGAAATGTTTTTAAACATTAATCAGTAAGTTCATCAGTCGACAGCCATTCAAATATTTGATCGATAAGTTCGTCAATCGACTGCTATTTAATCATTTAATCGATAAGTTCATCAATTGACTGCCATTCAAATATTTAAACATTTAATCGATAATTTAATCGATAAGATGAAATTAAAAAATATGAGTTTTGGGGATCTATCGTCCTCAACATCTTCTGAGGCACGCCATAGTGTCGAAGAAGCTTCCATAGTGTTGTTCTTTCCACGCTATCAAATGCCTTTTCGTAGTCAATGAAGTTGATGTAGAGTGATGAATTCCATTCAATTGATTGTTCCGCAGTGATCCGTAGAGTTGCGATTTGGTCTGTACACGATCTATCCTTACGGAATCTTGCCTGTTGGACTCGAAGTTGGGCGTCTACGGAGTCCTTCATTCTGTTTAACAATACACTGTTGAAGACGTTTCCTGGTATTGAAAGAAGAGTGATGCCCCTGTAGTTATCACAGTTGCTGAGATCGCCTTTCTTCGGTATTTCGATCAGGAGTCCTTCTTTTCAGTCTGTTGGTACTTGTTCCTCATCTCAAATCTTATTGAAGAGAATGTGGAGTATCCTTGCAGTTGCCGCTACGTCTGGTTTCTGTGCCTCTGCTGGAATGTTGTCTGGTCCTGCTGCTTTGCCACTCTTGATTTGTCTGATGGCCATGTTGATTTCTTCAATTGTTGGTGGGCCAACATTGATTGGGAGGTCCGTGGGTGCTGCTTCGATATACTTTTCAAACTCTAGTCAATCTTTTATGATTATTATTCAATTATCATGATCTTTACGTCGTTCATTTCTTTCTCATATATATAAACTGGACAATTATCTGTCATATTTTCGACTTGCTAATTATTTTCGTCCTCTTATTCTTTACTAACATCTTGACGATTAAATAATCTTCTTTTGATATTTGAAATCTCTGATCACTTTATAATGTAATCTCTGTTAACTTTTTACATACATTACCTATGGTTTGAACAATTTTTGCTGGTTAGCGTTTTTTTAGCGAATCAGTTTTCTACGGGATGCGGTCGCTAACCCCATTCGCAACCCTCCTCCTTTATCTGAGCTTGGGACCGGCAGTAGCCCCAGACGGGCTCCAGGTCTAAACAAGTTAGCTGGACGAAACGTTGGAATTATTTTAACTTTCAATCGCTGAGATTATTCCAGTTATCGTTTTCACATAGAATACCTTCTCTATAATCGGTGCCCAATTTCTATCAAACTATTTATTCTAATCTTGACAAATATTCTTGTAAATATTGAATTATATTTAATTTAAGTATAAATATTTATGAAAATTATTGTGTTATATTGAAGTTCCCATTTAAACATTAAAAACACAAAGTTCAGAGAAGGAATCTCTTTTCAACGAATTTATTATCAAGCTGTAAAATTGTTATTATTCGTATTATAATCTTCGTATTACGTCATCTTTGTTATTCATATTCATATTTCCTCATGGAATTAATACTTTAACAAAAAGAGATCCCTTCTCTGAACTTCGTGTTTTCAACTTTTTTATATTGAAGTGATTGTGGATATTTTTTAAAATTGGATTAGTATCTTTCAGAGGTGCGATTATAATTTATGGACGACCTTTGAGCGACGCCAGACTGACCTTGAGCATGTCCACTTAACAACTAGAGCCAAATGAGGGTTATTAAGCTGTGTGAGGAATTGAAATTATAATTTACAGTTGGTGATTAAGGTTAGGAATTAGATTTCGGGTTTTCATCACGAACTGACATCAGCTATAATGTCAAAACTATATTTACCCAAATGAATGAATGAATTTCGCGCCAATATCCGAGACCTATAATCTTATATGTGATTGGTTCATACATAAACTGTAGTCTCACCCTTTCAGAAGTAGACAGTTTTCTTTTGTCTTTTATATTGTTCATAGATCATTGAACTTATTTCACCTTAATTAAACGAAATAGGAATTTTCTTTTCAAAATAAAGTAGAGAATATGATATCTACTTATTGAATTGTCAATTTTGTATATTTGAATACAATAATGTAGATTCTCTTTGTTAGATAAATGAAAAAAAGAAAGAAAACAATCATCATAATCCTTAAAGAATTTTACATTATTTACTGACCAAATTTAATAAACAGAACCTAATGATAATCATACTATAAAGTCTATCATGGTATTTGATTAACATTTTTAATAATTTCAATAATTCATTGAATGGATTCATTATGAAAATGTCAAATTTTTCTCTATATCAAGTATAGTAAACTTGTAGCTCATATAAGTTATTCTAGTTTTCAATCTATTCATTTTAGTTGAGTCAAATTTTGACCTTGTCAATTATTTACTTATCAACTTTGTATTTATATGAGGGTATATGTGTGTATTTTGTTTATAAATTTTACTCATTACATGACTGTAACTTATTGTTTCTTTGTGTACGTGACTATAAATATCGATTCATGCTTAATTAAATCGAGTTGATTGATATGCTTTTCCCGCCGAGCATCATTTTATTTCGCTTCGCTCACTTCTATTCGCTTAGTTTCTCTGATTGTCTGTCTAGATAAATGTGTGTATAAAATATACATATTCAAAACTTTATTCTCGTAATTGACTGATTTAATTCAGTTATTCATAAATGCGATCCAAGTTGATAATTATACACTAGGATTGGCGATATATATATATCGATCAACATACTGTCTAATTAGTCAGATTCAAGGCCACAAAAGTGATCAGCTCATCGACAATATCATCCAATCTAATTGGCGTTCAAATATTAGGCTATTCAAAAACTAAATATCTGTTCTTGTTCTGAAATGGTATTTAATCGACTATCCTATTGCAGAATAAATTCTCCTTATACACTTTCATGAAAGTAAATCACTTATTCAAATATTGAATATTAACAACGAATGTTTGAGAAGATTAAATTAATCACTTAAATTTATAAATTTTATTCTTTAAGATTATTAACTTAAAATTAGTTTGGAATTCTCTCTCTTATATTAATACTTCGAATTGATTAATAATGTGTACTATGAATTACAACCCTTTTTTTGTTTTATTTATGTATTTATTAAATTTATTACTATGCAGACATTTTCATAACAATCATCATCAAATTCAATTATAGCAATTTGAAGCTACATGTACAGACAAAGATATAATATCACTGATTGAAATCATGAGTCAGTTGAAGCTAGACCACCATGGAAAACCTGGAAGCACTGAACGGCTGTTTCATCCTAGCATGGGACTCCTCAGCAGTGCGCATCCATGGTCCCATATCCCGCGTGAGATTCGAACCCAGGACCTATCAGTCTCGCGCCAGGCGCTTAACCAACTAGACCACTGAGCCGGCATCCAATGGTGTTAATGTCTAACTTCAACCAATCCACGAAGTTGCGCCATCGTACATCATTGTCTTCAGTGAGTTGATATCTCACAACAGACCTGGTTGAACTCCACTGGTAACGGCTTCTCACTAGAACTCCAGGATTTCAATCAGTGAAATTCCTAAAATCTCCACAAAACTCCTTCTGATAAAGATATAATCGTATCTTTCTACTTTTTGTATTATAATTTAATTATTATTTAAAATCTATTATAAACATTTAAAATTACAATTTACTTTTTCAATAATAGATTATTTACTACATTCATGTTATTCTCTTGGTAAGTAGTAAATTTAATTGAATATCATTTAATATTTTACTGTTTTTTTGTTTTGTTTTAAATTTCTTTAGCTTACTAGTCAACATCCGTATATTGAAAATCATATCAGTGAACCTTATTCTTATTTAATTGATATGGGTAATGAAACACAGATACGTCAAACTGCTAAACGTATTCTGACAACTATTAAAGTGAGATTTTATTAGTGTTTATTTGAATGTTTACAGATTTACAATTAATATTATTCTAGAAAGTGAATTATTAGTAACTTTAAGTAATCGAACAGTTAAAAGGGATTTTAAATTGTTAAAAACTAAACAATCATAGTTATGTGATATCATAGTAGTAGAATACTAATAGAAAAAGACTAAAGAAACATTTAAACATAGATGAGATTGTAATACTTGAGAATAGGTAATCATATAACACTGAACCTTTCATTTTGGAGACATTGCATCTGTATATTCAAACAATTGAGTTATTCATTCCCTTTGAATATTTAATTACTAACTGTTTATTGATTTTCAGAGTGGAAGTTATCGTCCACACGAATTTACTCCATGGGGTTTTCTCGAACGTCTTAATGCTTATTTGACACGACAAAATATCTGCGCTGCACCTTTTTACAAAAATTTGATCCAGTCTCCATTGCCGATAGCAAAAGCTGATACGCCTCCTAAATTTAACTACCTAGATGTCCCTAGCACTACTGTTTCATGGCCTCCAGTATCAAGTTTAAAGATAGTTTTGGGATCTCGTGGTAAATCTTGTGCAGATGTGTGTATGAATCTGGGAACTTCAGAACATACTTTATTACTGCCTTCCAATATTTCTGCTTACTCCATTCGCAACAAAACACAACATCCCCAAATACAGAATGGCTACCTTTACTACCGTTCTATTCACGCTACGCCTCCACAAAACTTGTCTTATCTTTATACATTTCGCTGTTCCCCAGAACATTTTCCAAGTGTTAATCATCGACTAAACCTTCAACATCTCGGTGTTTCTTGTCCTAATATTACTTACACAACTAGTCCAATGGCACCATATTGGGACGATGCAACAAGTTCATGTGTTTTTCAAGCTAATCATGAATGGTTTGACTGTACTGCCTCAGGGACTCTTAATGGATCTGATGTATTTTCTCGTTTTTGTCCTTGTCGTGATGCTCTTCCTAACCAGATTTCTTTATGTTCTAATTGTTTATGAAAAGAATAAACACACAT